AAACTGCTCAAGTGCATGTGTGTATGTCGACACTTGACACGTACAATATGCGTGTAGGAGACACGGAGAAACACACAGTAAAATACGCACAATCACACACATACATATGCACATACACATATACATGTACATTCACATACACATACACACTCATACATATTATGTACACGCTCTGTACATAAGAGTATTCATTATACAGAGGTATGGCTGCTGAAATAACATACAATATGACCCAAAACACACAAACACACACACAAACAAACACACACAAACAAACACACTCTCACACTTTGATTTATGCCAATTGAATTGCATTGCAGACATATGCATGAATAAAATTTAATATTTATAAATCACTGGCGTAGGTAAGCATTGTGAAATGAAGGTATATGTGTGTGTGTGTGTATGTTTGTACGTGTGTGTGCATGTGTGTGATCACAAACACACACACACACACACACACATATATGTGTGTGTGTGTGTGTGTGTTTACCCACACATATATAAATGCAACATCTATGTGCGTGTGGGTGCGTGTTGGTGTTTTCTACGGCTATTTTTTTATATACGCATAATTTTGACTAAAATCATTTTGTTACAAGCAATTATTGTTGTTGTAATAATCATCAAATCAACATATTCGTCAACTTTCTTGATATTTCAATCATCATAATCATCACTATTATCATAACTATTACCATTATTATCATCACCATCATTATCACCATCATCATCACCATCATCATCATCGTCACCATCTTCATCCTCTTTATTATTATCATCGCCATTATCATTATCATCACTACCATAATCATTATCATTACCAACATAATCGTTATCACCATTATCATCGCCATTATAATCGTTATCATAATCATTATCATAATCATTCTCATCATCGTCACCAGCGTCATTTTTGTAATGGGACCGGACTTTGCATCTACATAAGTGTAGAGACTTGAATTGTGAATAACACTAACAATTAACCCACACACACGTACACACACACATACACACACACATACACACACTTCTACTCCCAAGTTTCTACTTTAATTATCACCTTAAATTCTATCCAAGATTTACTTCTCAAATCACCACTTTACTTTTATTTTATAGTTTTCTCTTTCTCTCTTAAACACCCACATTTTCTTAGATACACACACCACACACACACACACACACACACACACACACACACACACACACACACACACACACACATAAACAAACAAACACACACAAACAAACACACACAAACAAACACAAACAAACACACACACACAAACAAACACGCACAAACAAACACACACACGCACAAACACACGCACACATACAGACATTCATTATAGATGATGATAACAATTCATTTTTAAGTATATTCAAACGAGTTTTATTGTTTTTGCTTCAGTGATGATGATGGTGGTGGTGGTGATAGTGATGTTGATGATGATGTTTATGATGATGATGAAGATGAAGAAGAAGAAGATGATGGTAACGACGACGATGATGATAGTTACTATGATGGTTTTTATAATGGTGATGAAAATGATGATTGTTTTGATAAAAAACTATTATGATGGTGTCATTTTCGGCTTTTTGCAGCACACGTACACACAAATATATACACATACATACAAACAACCATACAAACAAACACACACACACATACAAACAAACATACATACATACCAACAAACATTAACACGTACATTTGTTCATACGTAACGAAACGCGCTTGTATCGCTACCTCTTCTTATTGCAAATCAATAGAAATACCGACCTACCTATCTTCAAAGATGACGATGAAGATGATAACGCCGATGACGACGATGATTATTCTTTTTATAATTGTGGTGATGATGATAATGATAGTGAAGATGATGCTGTATGTTCAAGTTTGATTATTTAGGTTTGTATACTCATAAACATTTGTTTGTTTGTGCATTTGTTTGTTTGTATATTTATTTGTTTGTGTATTTGTTTGTATATTTATTTGTTTGTATGTATATTTGATTGAATGTTTGATTGTTTGTGTGTTTATTTATCTGTCTGTGTATTTGTTGGTTCGTGTCTTTTTATATTTTGTCCTTGTAGCGTTTCTTTGAAAAGTTTTAATGTATGGGGAAGACATTTCAACTCCTACTTGTGCATAATTTATTATTATATTATTATTTTTTTTATTTTTATTATTATTGTTATTATTTTCATGTCATTTATTCTCATTATCGACTTACATTGAGTTGGTTAGGTGCAGTATTATAATTGTAATTCTTGTTTCTTCTGTTCTGCTGGGATGTGGTTTGACGTCTGCGCTTCGCTATTTGTTTGTATTTGTGTGTGCGTGCGTGCGTACGTGTGTGTGTGTGTTTGTGTGTGTGTGTGCGCGACAATGATTAGTTTTTTTTATCGTATAGATGCAGTACTATTTCTCCTGATTATTTCTGCTGTATGTTTTTTACCAAAGCCTTTAAAGTTGTAAAAACTCACAATTTATTAAATCTGCTAAAAATATTGATTACATCGCATTACATTACACCACATTACATTACATCACATTACATTAGCAATTACATAAATTCAAATTACATTAATTCACTTTAATTTTCATAGAATATTATATAATGAACATATATAACATTGAGAAAATAACTTCAACAAAATTATTTATATAATTAAAACATAAAAATACTTTTTTGAAATTATTTATTTACTATAATATTTATAGTCTAAATCATTTAAACTTTCCGAATTTCAGGTAATTGTTAAAATTTACTCGGAAGATGATAGCAGTAAAACGATATCTATAGACGGCCAGACGACTGTTGAACAGCTGAGCAGTATTCTCATTAAAAAGTACAGACATGCCCCTTCCAAATCGTGGTCCATTGTTGAAGAATGGGAAAACATTCGTATGGGTAGGTTGATGGTTTTGTAATAAGTTTTGTTGAATATGTTATTTTACTTGTTTTTTTCATGTTTCTGTTTGTGATTATTATTTATCCGTTCGTTCGTTCGTTAGTTTGTTCTTTCATTTTTTCGTTTGTTCATTTTTCATCTTTTAGATTGTTCGTTTTTTCGATCAACCATTCATCTATAATATTGTATTTTTTTTATTTAGTTTTTGGTACATTCAAGCATGTGTTATTGTTTTTTTTTTATTAAACAATCAATCATTCTTTCGGTTCGTTCAATTAATCATTCCATCATGGTTGCTTAGATTTATTGAGTAATTTTTAAAATTAAACTTATTTTGTAAAACTTGCTTTCAAAAAATTATTAATTTTTCAATTAAAAAAAAAATTAAAATATTGAAGAACGATTGATGGAGGAACATTTACTGGTGATGGATGAATTAAAGAAGCGGTCACATGACCAAGATCACAGGCTATGGTTCGTCAACATAGAACATAAATACGACGTTTTCAAAAACGAACAAGTATTATATCTATGTAGTTTTCGTCACTTTGGTTCTTTTTTGTCTAGATTTTTTTGCGGTTTTGAGTTATATTAGTAGTTATTTCAGAATGCATGCACGTTTAAATGATGATTTAACAAATAATAATAATAATAATAGTAATAATATTCTCTATGGGATCTTGTTGAACCATGAATTCGTCAATGATCAGCCTTAAACAAGCTTTGAAAATTGGGAAAATAATAACAACCATAATAATAATAATGTTATAAATAATAATAATAAATGTTTCTAAATATTAAATGTGATCTATAAACCGAAAATAATTTTTATTGAAAATAATTTGCAGATAAACTCAAGTTTAATGAAAGATTCCTACAACCCCGAGTGCTCAGGGCATCTTTACCTGAGGCCAGCCAATAAGAAGTCGTGGAAGAAATTACATTTTGTTCTCAGAGCGTCAGGGCTTTATTACTCTCTGAAGGGAAAATTGAATGTTAGATTGGGAGTTCTACTTTTAATCGCTTGTAGGAATAAAAAAATGTGTTGTTGTTGATGGTTGTGGGCTGAATTCATGATTGATCAGTCGATAGATGGATTAAATCTCATCTGAGAGGGATTGTCTTATATCTTGATAAATGAATATAGATGGATTAATTAAAAATCATTAATTTTGAAAAATAGATCAATTTAAAATTTTTGAATCTTGAATCATTAACATAGAAGCCTTCTGATCTGACATGCTTGCACAACATGTCAGATGTTGACATCTACACAAGTTTGAAGGGCTGGGACCACGAGTTCAAAGCACCTACGCAGTTCGGTTTCGCTCTTAAGGTCAGTTGAGTTTTTTCAATTTATTTTTGGGAAAAACTTAAATAAAATTATTATTTCATGTTAATATTGCAGTAGCAGTTATTATTTTTCATTCAAATTGTTTATTCGGTTTGGTTTACGATAAGTTAATTGGAACATTTAAAAATATGTGTTGACATATTACCATTTCATTATATTATTAGTAACAAATAAATTCAATTTTTTAAAATACCAGTGAGAAAATTCATATGTACGATATTCTTAGATGATCGCCTAGTTAATATATTAATTAGATTTAATTAACTTGGATAAAAAAAAACTTATTGAAATTGTATTTAGTTATATGTCCGATATATTCAAATTAATTTATACAATAAATAACTGTTTTTCACACTTACAGTTGAACAATATGATCAAAGTCAACTCAAAGTACCCCGGTATAAAGTACTTCCTATGTGCCGATGACGCCAAAACATTGCAAAACTGGGTTGATAACCTAAGAATCGTTAAGGTAAAGATATTAAAAAATTAGTTTTTATAAACTTTGTAAAATATTTCTCAACTAAAATCCAAAAGGATTAAAATATTGCAAAATGTTTCTACATCGAAATGCGCTTTACAAAATAAATTTTTTATTATTAATTTTCAGTACGGAAAGCTACTATACCACAACTACAAACGGCCGCTGACTACATACTTTTCACCGCAGCAGCAGCAGCAGCAGCAGCAGCAGCAGCAACAACAACAACAACAAATGAAACAACAACAACAAATGAAACAACAACAACAACATCAATTAGCAGCAGCGAGCTGGAGTAACTTAATTGACGACGAACTAGACAGGATAGCGTCAATCCAAAAGCCACACTTCTCGTCAGCTTCTCTAAGAGACTGCTCTTCCATCCTGACAAACGAAAATTCCTCATTAAAACACTCGCGCACTGATTCCGTCCATTCCGATGATTTCAACAACTTTCGAAAGAGAGAAGTGAACACGAGTGATCACCCAAGCAATAGTACTAGTTACATCAACAGCATCAACGAAAACAACAGTCCCAATCTTGTCCCGGATTTGTTAGCAGAAAATATGCATAATAACGCCAACACCAGCAGCATCATTAACAACCTGATGGCTAACTCCTCCAACATACCGTACGACAACAGATCTTTGACGAGATCCCCATTTCAACGATTTCACACCTTTTCAAATAGCAGGTCCTCCCTCCAGAGACCCATACTCCCTCTCACATCTACGGTTAGCAGGCACATCTCCAGAAGGGACGATGGAGAGGTTGTTGGCACACTTACCAGGAAGAAACCTTCTGATTTGGACCAAAAAAGGACGAACCCCATCTCTAACAGCAACAATCTTAACAACATTACGAACAGTGGCATCGATATCCTAGACAACAATTTTAACTGTTACAACGCTTTTGCTGACAAAACCGTCAACAACAACAGCAACAACAACAGCAGCAACAACAACAACGACAACAACATCATCAACAACAACAACAATAATTATGGATACGCTCTAAAGTGTAACATTCTTAACAGCAGCTTCCATAACGATCAATTCATCAACAGCCAACAAGCTCCCGCATTGAAAACATCCATTTCCTACCCGGACAACACGTGGTTCGCGGACACTGTGGCGCCAAGCAAAACATCTCTCTTGGATAGATTCCCACTTTCCAGATATCCACTCCACCTTCCTCCTCCCGATCCCAACTACGAGTACATAAATGACGCCATTACCCCGCCCTCTTACATAACTTTCCGAACCTTCAACAACCAATCACGCGTGATGACGTCACCGGATTTAATTCTCAATAGCAATGACGTCAAACTGAGCCATGACAAAAATACAAATAACAACAACAATAACAACAACAACAACTACAATGATTATTATGACGATCTCAGTTCTCCACAAAAATACAACAGCTTAAGAAAACTATCAAAATCGAAAAGTCAAGATCCGTTGGACTCCGAGAAGAGACGCCTGAGGTTAAACGAGAGCAGTTTGCAAAGGAATGGGTCATTCAACGATCCCAAAACCTTCCAAACCAACATTCCGGATATTCCCGTTGTGACGAACGTGTTGGAAGATGGTGAGAGTTTGAAGGATTTGCGACAGATGGCCTTACAACAGCAGTTGAATGCCTTCGATATTCCTCTGCCTCCCACACCCGAAATATTTCAGTTTTTGGTCAGCGGCTTGTTTTGTTGATTGTTTGTTAATTGTTCTTACAATACAAAGCTAGTTATTTGTTTTTAATTTTTAACAATTGGAATTTTTTTTGTCAAATTTATTCAAATTTTTCATTAAGAATCAGTTGTTGATGTAATTAATGTCGCTTCCATTACCAGGCACAAAACAAAAATGATATGAAGTCTAAACCCACAAACCACTGCCAACAACAACAACGACACCACCAAGAACCACAGCAGCAAAAACATCAGCACGACTACGAAGTACCCTACCATCTCTCACACAGCAGGTCCTTTCACGAGCCCAAGAATCCATCCAACCGCTCACTAACCATGAAAAAATATTACTCCTCCACCCACAACCAACCATCGCCACTAAAAAATGACGTCAACAATCTGAATAGAGGCCACTCAATGAACCATTCCTTCTCCTTCGGTTACAGACAGCTTTTCAACGGCAACAACTGCACACACGAAGTTGAGAATGGGCATCTTTTGAGAAGTAACTGCAACAGCATCATCTCAAATGGTAGTAGCAGTCGGTTCAGCGGAAGCAGCAGTGGTAGCAGCGGTGGAAGTTGCGGCATTCCTGCTCCTCCATGCAGAAGTGCTCTCACTAAGTTGACGTCGCCTTTGTCCTGCAACTCCAACAACAATGGTAACATTAATTACTCTAATAACGGCAACAACAACTCTAATTTTAGTTACAATAACATCAACACCAATACTACTAACAACAATCCTAATGCGATTAATAACTTGGCAGTAAACACACTTGCCTCTGTGAAAAGCTCCACAGTGAGTGATGACCTGAACGATGAATTACCGAAGCTTGGATTTGGTGGTGTAATTCAAAATGAAGAAGTACAACAACATCAACAACAAAAACTACAACAGCATAAACAACTACTTCAACAACAACAAACAACAAACCAGGATAACTTACATTCCGACAAATCTGTCAATCAGCCCCGCTTAGACGACATGCCCCCACCTCCACAACAACTTATTGACTATTTAAAAATTTTACGTGGCTTACATAAAAACGAACAACAACAAAACAATCAACAACAAACATTACAAACAACGACAACGACGACAACACCGTAAACATTAAATAATATCATTTTCATACGACTAACTTAAGTGATTAGTTTTAGTTTTAATTATTATTTAAAGTGGAAGAAGTACGAACCAAATTTTTAGCAAAAATTGTACGTGTCTTATTTGAAAATATTGCTCTTGATCAATGAATCTTATTGCCAATTTTTAAAAAAAAATTTTTTTATTATTTTTTTTTGAAGTTATGAAAGTGTTTTGGTGCTCCATGAGAAACTTTATTCTTTCCCGTAAAAACCTGTCTCGAAGTAGAATAAAAATTATATCATTTTTATCAGCGGTTTCGTTTTTCTACTTCATCTAAATATTTAATAATATTAATAATAATAATAACAACAACAACAATAATAATAATATTAATAATAATAATAACATTTATGCGGCACCCCGCAGCTTCATAAATCAGAGGCGCTATTTATCATAGCAATCATCATCATTATCGTAATAAATTAATAGATAAAAGAATAAATTGATATCTGGATGAACAAATTGATGGATGAAATTGATATCTGGATGAACGGATTGATGGATGGTTAGATTGATGGATGGATAGATAGATGGAGAGATAGGTGAATAAATGGATAGATGGATGGATGGATAGATACCGGATAGATTAGTTATTAAATGAATGAACAAATTAATAGATAAAGTTAGTCGAATTGAAACTAAACTGGTAAATGTTTATTTATTTTGTAATTACTTTAGTAAAATTACTTTTTCAATTAGTTCATCCATTTGGTTTAAATGTATTTTAGTGCCTTTCCAACTTATACTGCGTTTCGTGTTATTAGTATTATTATTGTGTTGTATAATAATGTTTTTGTTAGTGTGTTTTTCTGAAAGGATTCTAGCAGAAATTGACCCAATGAAGTTTAAAGGCTAATAATAATAATAATAATAATAACAATACTAATAATAAAAATAATAACAACAACAATAATAATAATAACCCTATATATACTTGTCCAATTAATATTCAACGATTATACAATATATAATCATTTTCATTAGGCAGAATTTAGCATTTGCGTAGTTAGTTAATTGGTTAATTAATTAATTACTCAATTAGGGAATTGTTAATTACTTCAATGAATATTTTTGATTTTTAAAATGGCACTTATTAAATTTTATAAAGTTTCATTTTGAACAATGATGTTGATTGAAAACTTTTCCCAAATATTGAAGATAAATGCTCGAATGTTGGTTTACGTCTATGCAGTTTGTGTGTGACGTGTCTGTGTGCGTGCGTGCGTGTGTGAGTTTGTATGTATGTATGTGATAGCTTGTATGTTTGTGAGTTTGTATGTTAGTGTGTGTGTATATATGTGTGTGTTTGTGTACGTGATCTGTGAGAGCTATACTTTTTAATCTAATAAAAATAACCAATAAGTAATAATCAATAATGTTATCAGAATTTGAATATCATACTACCACTACTAATGCTACTACTAAATAATAATTATAATATTAAAAACGACAATAATAATAATAATAATTATAATAGCAACAATAAATAATATTATTAATAAAAATAAGAAGAACAATTGGAATAATAATAACAATAATGCACCTTATGACGTAGTCGGTACTTTACATGAAAGAGAGAATGGAAGAAAAGAAGGATGGAGAAGGAGAGATCGAGGAAAAGAAAGAAAGATAAGAAGAGTGAAAAAAGAGAGAAGCAAAAAGAAATAAGAGAAACAGAAAAAGGGAAAGTAAGAGAGAGAGAGAGAAAGAGAGAGAGAGAGAGAGAGAAAAGGAAAGAGAATCTCATGCAAACAACTCAATAAGCTCAAGAACTGGACTGCCCGCTGTGTGCAACGTATGCTGTGCGGGCTAATTGCTTGCTTGCCAGTACCACTGTTTGTTATTCATTTGTTTCATTTTGTTATGTTTGTTTTTTATCATTATGATCTATTGTTATTATTTGAAAGAAACTTTAAGTTTTCGCTATGGTGTAAACTCTTTTTTAATCTTTTGTGTAATTTAATTTTCATTATATGTAACTAAACATTGAAAACCGTGGCATGTGTTGGGGGAAAGTTCCCATAGATTGAGTCAAGACTCCGACAACACAGCTAGAGAACTTGGAGTCACAATGTGTCCGAATTGTGTCCGAATCTGTCGACGACAACCCTCAACTTTGCGAACAATGTTTCTCAAGACAAAGAAGCAATAAGATCAAGCAATCAAAAGATACGTCAGAGTCGATTCAGCGTGTTTGATTTATGCAGCAACCTAACTGATGATGGTATGAATGTGTCCGTCAGAGTTGTAACAAGATGATGTTCAATCACAGTTCTGAACGCCGCTGCTAGATTAGTTGCCGGCTTTTCGAAATTCGAACGAATCTTATGAAACTAATTTTGCGAGTTCCTGTGATATGGAATAATAATCATTGGGAGCGCGTGCGGACTAACTACATGGAAATCATCAAATTTAAATCTAATTTGCTAACATGTGTGTTTATAACATTCTCAAGATAAGAAATAAAGAAATAATAAATTAAAACTTATTAGAATACATAAAAATTTGATGAATATTAAAGTGATAATTAACATTTATGACAATTATGAATAATTGTTAATTTTTCACTTTTTTGTGAATAAAATGGAATAAAAAAATTAAACATTTAAAATTTAATTATTAACAATTAATGTTTAATTTATCAACAATTTATTAACAATAATACTGTTTATGTATCTTTTAATGTTAGTTTATATTGGAAGATTTTCGACTGAAAGAAAGTTTTTTTTACGTCTGGTAAGGGAGCATGGATGGGGCAAAACTTGCATGCTGGTTCATACGCAGTGCACTCAAACTTTTGTTGTACCAATCATCTTCATGGTCCTGTCGGGTTTTGAATGGTTGTATGTAGTTGTGGAGTTTGGCCCTGATTCAAATTTTCTATATTTTTTCTGTTTTTTTTTATCAGATTTGTAAATTTAAAAAAATTCTTATTTTTCTGTTTTTATGTACCTTGTGCAATCCGTTTTGTACAGATTCAAAGGTTTTCTTAGATTAAAATAATCACAACGTCATACAAATATCTCTACCGTATAACATTTTCAGAATACTTTTGTTGCAAATAGTAATTGTTATATCGAGATTTTATTCAAAACAAATATATACATTTATATTGATTTATGGTTTATTTTTATTCTTTTCCACATAAAAAACAGACCGCCTAGCAGTCATGTTGATGATATGAAGGGCCGTCCATAAGGGATGTCCCGCTTCAAGGAGGGAGGGGGTCTAAATATTTGTGGCACTTTGTGACGGGGGTCAAAAAAACGTTAAAAAAGCGTGACTACAATCCTTGATAGAGCAACCGATCGACTTACTAAATTAAGGCCGTAATCTGAAACCATAGGCGGGAGACGTTGATTCTGAGTCAGACCCGCCATGGAGCCTGTCATGGCGACCATACTTCCGTTTGCGGTCACGTGATTCATGGAGCCCAGGCCGGAGAACTGCGCCATGGAGGAGTACCCGCCAGAGTTTGGCAGGGAGTATCTGATAGTTAGTTAGTTGTTTGTTGTGTTAAGAAAGTTTTCAGAAAATTTGTTGTACTGTTTACAGAAATAATCACAAAAACACTTTTCTTTATTTATTTTTTCTTCAAACTAGTAGTCGCCGAATGTATTTTAGTGGTTCTCTCTCATTTACCGTATTAACATTCTAGGGAGTGAACTGTGACCTTATTGATATTTCTCTCTACATCAAGTGTTGTCTTGTCTGTTTACAAAGTATGGTATCTTTAATGAGTGAATTTATTAATAAAATGAAAAAAGTGCTCTGGCTTCAAAATATCTAAAGAGATCCTATTTTCATCCTAGCAGACAAAACATTCAAAGACTATTCTACTATCGAATGAGTTAATTTCAGCAGAACTGCATGTCTGAAACGTCTAAAAAAAATTACGTTAACTCGATTTTCTAAGGCTTCAACATAATTTTGATATATGATATGGTACTTGTTAGAGACTAGTGACCGAAATGAAAACAATAAAATAATAATTTTTCATCTGTAGCAGACGAGTGACAACTCATCTGCTACAGATGCAACTCGTCTGCAGCTGGCTGACCTGACCATAGAGTTTCCGGAGCAGCCAGGATAGGGATAAGTTGACCTGCCCATGGAGTGGTGGTACAGATTCCTCATCGTGCAAGCCGAAGCTCCGGGATTCAGTGACTTCACCAGCTGTTTCTCTTGTTTTCTGTATTTGGCTCTCCTATTCTGGAACCACACCTACCGATATTGCGTGAATGAATGTTTCGCGTACGATTTTTGTGCGTGAGTCAAATATTTTTGTGTACAGTGTTTTTGAGTGTTGTTTAATGTTTTGTTGGTCACAGTTTTTTTCGGCAGTTGACAACATACGTCATAAATTAATTAATATGCGTGAATTAATCTGATAGCTTTTATTGCTAATAAACTTTATAGTTATGAAAAACACGGTTAAACAAAGGGATTGTTATAAAATTTTAAAAAGTTGAATCAGTTACATTGTGAACTTGAATAGAAATAATTTGCAAACGAGTCTCACTTGAATTCTAGCCTCATTCAACTTGGTGACCCTGGCCAACTCCTCACGAACATAAATATCAGGGTAGTGGCTCTTGGCGAATGCGGTCTCCAGTTCTTGCAGCTGATCCTGTGTGAATGTGGTCCTGTGTCGACGTCTGGCCGGCGTCTGGCAGGTTGCTGGGTTGTGCAGACCAGACGTAAGTGAGGGTGGTAACATGGAGGAAGCTGATGACGAAGATGAAGATGATGGAAAAGATGAGGAGGAGGAAGATGATGAGGAAATTGGCGGCAATGAATTACAACTAAGGAGATTGATTCCTCCTTGACAACTGCTGATGTTGTTGGTGTTGTTGTTGTTGTTAACATTGCTATTGCCGTTGTTGCTGTTGTTGTGACTGTTGTTGTTGTGGCTGTGGTTGTTGTTGTTGTTGCTAGAGGAAGCTGCAAATAAACTTGAGCTGACGCCAACCGCGTTTTCTGATTTTATTTTCTTGAACGTTCCGTCTGTTTGATTCCAGTTTTCAACGCAATATAACAAATATTTAATGAAATTTTTTCTATCTAATAACAAATAACAAAAAACAAAACAAAATTGTCATCGCTATCAAGTAAAACAACAAAAAAAATTTGGCAAATTCATTATCACTGTTATTAAAATTTGTTGACCGTCACTCTTTTTTAGAGTTTAGAGGCTCTTTTTAGCATCTGAATATTAAAACAATTATGATTTAATTTTTTTTTTAAATTCCTCTCCTTTCATCCCATTGATGTACGTGTGTATACTGCATACGTGCGTGTTAATAACGTATGTGTGCTTCAAAATTATCAACGCATATCTTGACATCTTAACAGTATTAAAGGTATTTACCTGTTTGAATTGGTTTCATTTTTTAAAAGATGTTATAAAATGTTTGACAGGGTAGGGGCACTCGTAAAAAATATTTGTAGAAATTTTTGAAAAGATTTCATTTGCTAATTGTGTAAACTAGCTGTACCTATCATGCACAAAGGTTGAATGTTGAAAATTTACAGTGTTTCCAACTATGTAACAAATATGAGTCAACGCTGAAATCACTAAGTTTGAAAATTTAAAAAACCGTCGATTCGAAATATAATTACATTTAAAAAAAATTATTTAATTGGAATATTTTTGAAAAATTTCGCTGGACAAATTGAAGACAACGTGTATAAAAATAAAAAATTGTTTTTATTTGTAGAAAAAAATATACGTTCAGAGTTTAAACATAAAAAAATTCTAACCCGAAGGATGTTGTTCGTTAGTACCATGAAGAGTGTTTGCCCTGGATGGAATGTTGTGTTGTTGTTGGTTGTTACTAACCAAGTGGTTGTTGTTGATGCTACTGCTGCTGCTACTATCCAAGAACTGGTTGTTGTAGCTGTGTTGCGGTACAAATGGTAGCGCGCAGGAATCGTTCACGTGACCGAAGTAGCCGATGTGGCTGTTATTGTGGTAGCCGAGGGATGAATACAGGGAGGCGAAATCATCGATGACGGAAAATTTTTTTCGATCCTTTCGTTGTTGCTGTATGTTGTTGTCGCTACTGTCGCCGATGTTGTTAGAAGTGTTGCTGCTGTGGCTACTGCTTCCGCTGCTACCCATGTTGCTTTGATTGCTAATCATTTTCACTGTCAAAACTTTTTTCACCAACTCTTTCGATTATATTTTTAAAATATAAACTAAAATAATTTCTTAATATTTATTTGATTTTCCAAATTATAACTATTTATTTCCAGTTTCATATATACCATTAAAAATGTCAGTGCGTAATTAATATTCGAAACGAAAGATATTTGTTACATTATTGGCGTATCGATGACGTCAGCATTAAGTAGCCAATCATAAAGTTAATGACGAGATGAACTCAAAGATGTCCACAAGATACAATTGGAATGAAAATCGAATGAAAATCCCCTTACTTGATGTTACCTAGGTTGATGCCTGAATGAATGCAGGTCACGTTATTAAGTTGTTAACAGAAATTAAAGACAAATTTACACACGCACGCAAAAATTCAACATACAAACAAACATACAAACATGCAAACAAACATACAAACAAACATGCAAACAAGCAGAAAAATTGTAACAACGTGTTATTATATTTTTGCCAAAAGTCAGATTAGCGGTCGACAGCTGATAAATGCAATAAAAGATAATATTATATACACTAACTCTCTCAACAAACACAAACGAACTTGCTCGCACACCCCGCGCACACACATACACACATTCATATAAATACACAAAGTTCCAATATATACAATAATATCATAAAACGCACGTGAACACGCACGCACGCACGCACACGCAAACATATTTACGAGACTAGGAACATGTATGAAATATAAAATACTGACTGTGCGACTGACCAAGAACAAGTCAGCTCTGTCGCTGATGAGACAAATGAGTTTCACTAAATTCCATCTGCTCATCATAGTAGGCGAAAGCATTAGGCGCTATATTCAGTATGTATACATACCCATACACGCTGATGTGTACATTCATGTGTATGCATATATTCATACACAAACTTATATGTACATTTGTGTCTATATACATAGGTATGTATGTGTCTATGTCTATATATATGGTAGGTATGTGTGTATATATATATATATATATAGGTATTGGTCTATATACATAGCTAGGTATTGGTATATTTATATGGTATTTTTATTGCCCTATGTTTGTATGACATTTTGTTAGATGCTCTCAATAGGAATATATATATATTCAATTTTGCATATAAATGATTTATTAGTGTGTGTATGTGCATTTGTGGGTTTGTTTGTATATGTTATCATAAATTCCCATATTATATATATATATATATATATAGAGAGAGAGAGAGAGAGAGAGAGAAAGAGAAAGAGAGAGAGAGAGAATATATACACATATATAAAGATTTTTGTATTGTTTTGTATGTTTGTATACATAATTGTATGTACGTATGTATGTATGTAGGAAAGTATAGGTTTGTAGGACGATCGAATCTTATGAAAGTAAATCTGGTTGTGTAAACATGTTTGAAGAAATATGACTTGATCAAGTTCTTTGCATGTCTTATTTTTAATGTATAGAACATATATGCAGTTCAACATTTAGAACTGATTTTACCACTGCAGGTTTTACGTGGTTTTTGTAAAGGACAAATGTTCGTATTTTCATGTGATGTGAATTTTTTGCTGTAGAGAATTCACGTTTGAAAGTATTCTATTTTTCAGTAAATAAATAAAAAGTAGTTTTTTTTAATAATTTAAAAATTAATAATTTTTAATAATTTTCTAAGATTTTAGTGAATGTTAATCAATTTGAATTACTATGTATAGGTATAGCTGTCCTGAATTTTTTTCCAGATCCGAAAATATTAAATTATACAATGATCTATAAAAAGATATTCATGTTTTATAATATTTTGAATTAGAAAAAAGCCACACTGTCATTATGTGAAAACTTGAAAGTTGTTTAATTTTTATTTTCAAATAAGATAGCTCAGACTGTAAAAGTGCGAGTTACACACTTAACAGCCAGGTTTAAGACTATAACATAAACGTGACTGCCTGGTTTGATTTCTATCTCAAACTGTGTATCATGTATCATTGTATCATGCGTCACTCAAACAAATGTGCATTATGTATCATTTTATCAAATGCGTGTCATATAACATTATATAAAATGTGTATCATGTATCATTATATCAAATGTGCATCATGCATCATTAAATTAAATGTGCATCATGTATCCTTATATCAAACGTGTATCATGTATCATGATTTCAATTGCGTGATAAAATGTTCTACACTGGTATATTTGGATGATATTAAGGTTGAACGATTTGAAGAAATTATTGAAAAACCCGCCACCATCCATGCGTGTGTAGTTTATCAAATTTTTTGTTTTATCGTATGCTTTTTGTGACATTCTTTCTATTTCATAGTTTTGCTCTCAACACATTTTGATTAAATCAAAAAAATTGTTTAAATGAATTTAATTTTTTTTAGCAATTAATGTAATGTAGATTGGAGTAAAACAGTTTGCATGCCTCTCACCGCTGATGAAATTTTAAAAACGACCTACCAGCAAATCGAAATTTTTAAACTGTACAAAATAAAAGTAAAAATAAAAAAACTGAAAAACTGCCAAAGAATTCATTCAAAAAGTTAAAACACCAACAATAGAGCTACATTGTCTATATCAAAATAAATGCGAAAAATTGCTAATATTTTTTTACCAGCATAAGCAAAAAAACAATTTTTTTCGTAGTTAATTCAAAATCGTGAATACGTACGAGCGCAAAACTGATGTAACGTTGTTTGCGGCAATCGTTCGTCCAATTTTCAGTCTCTACCAATTCAATCAGCCTGCCGTTATGCACTTGCGTGATTGTATGCCTGCGTATATATTGCGTGTATGTATGTATGTGTGTGTATGTGTCTATCTTTTTGTGTGTATGTCTATGTATGTATAAGTTTTACAATATTCTATAAATTCTACCGAATGTTTGGCTTTAATATGTTTGTAGTTCGTTTTTTCAATTTTTCTCACAAAAGTTTTTTGGCGAACGTTTAGTTTATTAAAATTCAAAATAAACTTATTTTCCGAATTCATGCTGCAAATAAGACCATATTTCGATTCCGAATGAATCACCATCAGAATTTATAGAATATTGTAAAAATTATGGTCTTTTACCAACATTTACGTATACCATGCATTTGTGTATGTTTTTCTCTATGTATGTTTGTATGACTTCACAAAGATGTATACATCTGAATTTCGCTACACCTGTGAGATTACTTCTATGTATTTAAACGTTTTCTTGTATGTATTTGTATTCGTACGTATGCGTGTGCGTGTGCGTATGGGTTACGTTGTTGTGTGCACAGTTGTTCACTTGACAAGGTGTACGTACATTATTTGAAGGTGAGGAGTTGAACCATAGCGTGTGTGCGCAAACATGGTCTTATGTGTGTGTAGTAATTCATCATAAAACCGAGTGCATCCTCATCATTATCGTCATCATCATCCTCTTCGCCATCATCATCATTACCACTACCACCACCGTCATCATCATCCTCCTCCTCCTCATCATCATCATCATCGTCATCATCATCATCATCCACTTCCACGTAACTTTCAAAGCGGTGGACAGATTGCAAATTTTTTTCTACAGGGCAAGACTTTCCGCCGGCGCTAATTGTCCAATCATCGTTATCTCCAAGTTCTGACGTCATGAATATGTATGTATTTATACATGCATGCATGTTTGTATGTGTGTGTATGCATGTATGTATGTATGTATATATGTAGGTATGTATGTGTGTGTATGTTTATCTTTATAAATAATTGCATGTATATATGTATGTATGTACCTATGTGTGTTTATGTATGCATATATGTATGTATATATGTTTGTAAAAATGTATGTAAGTTTGTATGTGCGTGTGTGTTTGTATATACATGTATGAGTTTGTATATAAGTACATGTAAATAAATAAATATATATATATAATATACATTGATTTGTTTGTAAGCCCCCGTGAAGCGTGAATGAGGTGAGGAATTGTTTTTGATTTTTGTTTTATTCAGATAAAATATAAATATTTATCTTTTCAAAACTGTTTAATGCTTATTATTTTTTTTATTGTCAAAAAGTGAGAAAACATTTATTTAGTCTATAATAAAACTTTTAATTCAACAACTTTAAAAGTTAATTTCATTTCAAATTTATTAATGTTATTTTAAAAAATTCATGAAAAGAAACTTCTATTAAATGATTTTATAATTTTTAAAGCGTGCCATCATGCCTTTTCAAGTAGAATTATTCCTATTGGTCAGTTGAGACCACGCCTACTTCCGCTAAAGACGCATTTCACTAGCCAATAGGATTGGATCATTATTTGCACATGCGATGTTATGTTAAGTGATTAAAAAATTTTCATTGTTCATTGCTCGATGTTTATTTTTAATATACTTGATTGCTCTTAAGTTGTATCAGTAATTTTAAGTATTATTTTGAGGTTTTTAATACAATTTTCTGTTACTGTTATTTTGTTAAAGACTTTGTGAAGATGAATATATTGAAAGAATCGTTGAAAATGTGTAAAATTTATTTGTAGCAAATTTGACAAAACTAGAATTGTGAATAACTAAACTGAATCAAACAGATCTAGCTCACGAAACGAAACAGCAGTTGTTGTCATCAATCCTTCATTCATCAAATCATCATTACATCACATCAACATCACGCCATTTTAAATGATATCAACACCACACACCATATTACATTAATTACAGTTCAATTTTATTTGCAGAAGAAGCTGAAAACTCGAAGCGAAGTTGCACCGAAATGCTTAAAAATCAATCGCTCCAACATAAACGTCACTTTAAACCAACATCAACATCACATCATAACAACAACATCACATTACATCGACATCACATCACAACAACATCACATCACAACAACATCACATCACATCAACATCCCATGCAAGCACACACGGCTGGCCGTCACGTAACTTGAGGTCACCAGACACACCCACCGACTTATGTCGTGAGATCCGTGAAAAGGAAAAAAATGAAACATGAAAAATTGCATCATCTGTCATCATCGTAGCGTTCTTAGGGATGGGACGCCTTTTGTTAGAACATCACATTTTATTCTATTTTTAGTGTTTGGTATCTTATTTTCATTTTATTTTTTGATATTTATATATATATTTATTTATTTATTGGTGTGTTTGTCAGCACCCTTTAAAAAGATTTCAGAGGCGCTATCGATTATAGCAGCACACTAAAGCAATGCAATGAATGGAAAGAAAAAGACATTAGCACTGTAAAGCTTAGACAAAAAGATGGTGTTTCAGTCTTTTACGAAATTGATTAAGAGACAACGCAGGATCACATTTGCGGAGCGCGTAGCTTTAAACGTTTCAGTCATTTTTTACTTTTACCTTTAACTATCAACATTAGATATGTTTCCCGTATGTTTGCAAGATCACAAACCGAAAACATGAACTTGAATGTGACCGCTACATGTGCGTGTATGCTAGCTCTAGTACATGCTGCTACTGAGAATTTTGTATACGATAATAATTTACTATAATATTATAAATATATATCATTGTAAAATATTCTATTTATATTTTTCAATATGCTACGGTATGTTAAAAATGTCGGATTACATTTTTTAACGATTCTAAACAAAGATTTTCCGAGATTTTTTTAAAGATTTTTCCGAGAATTTTTACATAACATAAATTGAATTTGTAATAGGTAGTATGCGCTGCACGTCATATGGACTGTAATTTTAAATTGCTCTAGAACTTGTTTAATATTTCGTCAAAATTTTGCTTGAATATCGACCCACATTTTTATGAAATCATTTAATGTAGGAATTTAATTTAATTTTAACCACTTAATGTAGGAACAAAACAAAAATATTATCATACAGAGTTAGAAAGATATCGCTAATGAAGGAACGAACAACTGAGCAACACAAAAAAATGGTAATGGAAAAAACTACAAAAACCTAAACAAACGATCAAAATGAAATGATAGATGCAGACGTCATAATAATTCAGTGATGTGTGGGAAAGTTGTTTCATCTCCAGCTAAATTAAATTTTAAGGCACAGTACGGTGAGAAAAAAAAATCATACCTCTGTTAAGTTAACAAACAAAAAGAAATGAGACAAAATATTTATACACATATCAAAGTACTCGTGTAAAAACGAAGGCACACAACCCAACACACCACACAAATTAGGTCACATACACATGTGCACACATTGGGACTTTTCACCGTACACAGTTAAACACACACACACACACACACGCACACAAACATACGCATACATATACGTTGTACAAAGTGTGGAATGTTTTATTGATTGGGATAAGTGGAAAATTCTCCAGCTTCAATAGACTGGCAGGTCTTACAAATGAGATGGCAAGTGACAAAAATGTATGAAGATGCATGTGGAATGTCAACAAAGTATGAAAATGAAAATGACTAGAGTTTTTTGTTCATGAGCTATGCATAATAAACTTTTTTGAGAAGCATGAAAAATTAACTTGAAGCATTGAAAATTATCACAAAAAAAATTTTGTCTGAGCCAAAAAAACAAACAAAAAAAATGCATGAAATAAATGAAATATCAATCATTTGATGAATTGCTGTGGTGTCTACAACTGCCTCCGTCGCCATCAACAGCAACAGCAGCAGCAGCAGCAGCAGATGGCGTGGTCAACATCTGTCCACAGAAGAAGGTTAGTGCACAGACCGTGGCGCACACAGCCAGAGCCAAATAAGAACAACTCATCGTATTGTAGAGAACGACCAGGGCAACGATCTGCAAGAACCACTGCAGCAATCTCTGGGCCCGAGGGTTTCTGATGGGCCCGTAGAGGTAGGCTCCACTGAAACTTATCATGCCAGTGAGAGTGAGGTAGACAAGGATCTCGAGGAAGTAGGTGTCGATTATGTGGTAGAGATTGTTGTAAAAAAGGCTCATCATGTAGGTTGTCGTTCCCGTGAAGGCTATCAAGAAGACTGTCACCATGGGCAGACGCTGCAATGTTCAGTGTTTCAATCTTACTGGACATTATAACATTACATTACATAGCTACGCAATATCAGCAACACTCTACGAAGCATCTGAAAGAGAGTGCAAATAAAATGATGATATGCATCATACTTGGAAAGAAAAATAAATCAATCAGCTAGATATGGAAAACTCAAAGTAAATAACAATCCAACAGTTTTCTTCGCCTAACAATGACAATAAATCTTATAAATTGAAAAATTGTAAATTAAAATAAAAGAAATAGTCAGCTAACGTTAGGAAACGCTCTAGCAAGTAAGGCACATATGACAAATGTGAAGAATATGACACCCACCATGGTTCCTATGAGGTACTGAAAAATGGCTGACCTGTTCGGTTTGCAGTTTAGGGCTTGAACTTCATTATGTCATTTCACCAGTTGATTTGTGATTTTATTTAGAATCTTTAAATTTAAAAATGAAATTATTACAAATGAGTGATATAAAAACGGAAAAACAAAATTTTAAAAGTTTAAACCAATTTATCTACTTGCTGAGGCATTCAGCTAGAATGAAAACAGTTGCAGCAACAGAGAAAATGATCAAAAGCCTATTGCTGACATCTGCAATCATGAAAAATATAAACATTTCATTATTTAAAAAAAAAATATGTACAGATCAATCAAAAATATGAGATAATAATGTCTGAAGAATATTTTTTAAAAGTGAAAAAAAAGATAAACTAATTGAAAGGATGATAATTTAGTAGAAAAAGTTAATAAATTGAGTTATATCATCTACAACCTCTTGAACATAATCATTCAGACACATAATTTTTTACTGATCAATAATTTATCTATATAAGAAAATGTAATATAAGAAAAAAAGTAAAAATGTAACCTACCCTCTATAACCAGTGTAACAGAGATTGGACTGTTGGTTTCAAGACCTAGGCAGGTGTCCTCAAATGATCTGAAACAGTAGCTGTGAAAGTTTCCAATAAGGTACCTTAGGATCGAGAATGAAGGATTTGTGAATGCCTGGTACGTCGTGCTGGCATTTCGACCGTAGTACGCATTGAAAACCCCTTCTGACTCTATGTGAAACTATATGAAAATATTTTTTTTTTGTAATAAAGTATTCTTAAAATCAAGTTTTTCTGAAAGTAATTCACCGTTTAAATATTAAAGTTACCATTTTAAGATTAAATTCTAGTTAAACTGAGCATCACGACAAAATTTATGTAACAAATTTGACTTTAAACTTGAATTAAAAAATAAATTTAACAAAAAAATATGTTTCTCACACATGTAGACATCCATAGTTTAGAAAATGTGGCCCTTTCATTGGTTGTATAACAAATTATCTTCAAGTCTCTTCCTGTTGAGTCTCCATATTGAATTGTACTGTTTGACTTGGAGAGAGTTTTTGTGGATACTGAAAAATATTTTTTTTTTATAAAACTATATAATTATGTTGTTGAATAAACTGAATGGAGTTATTTATGCTAATTAATTCTTTGTGATAAAATGAACATTATTATAGGTTGATAACTTATAAAATAAAGATAAATACAGTAGTGCATTTAGTGAGGCACTTTTAGGAAAGAAAATGAGTTAATAATTTGATGAATGTCAAATTTGTTCTGACTTATATAAAACTTTAACATTAACTCAGCTTGCTTTTAACATTATTTTATTTTTTAATTGTATTAATAATTTATTTTATACCTATAAAAATCTAATCTTAATGACTGTAATTCTTGAATCTCATACTATTCTTATTTAAAATTAATTAAATTAAAATTTTACTTACAACAAAGTCTTTCTGCTTAAAATTAAAACTTAATTAAATTAATATTCTGATATTTAATTATTTTTATTTGTGTAAAACCATATAAATGACCCATAAAAACAAAATTTGAAATTTAGCTTATAAATTAACTTTTAAACAAATGCCATTTTGACATTGGCTTGTCATAGCTCATTCGTTTCGTTGCTGGTATTTGCCGCCAACGCAGACGACGTCACCAGGCTAATAAGAATGATAACATAACGAATGATGTCACACAGCAATGGCAAATTACACAAATTTCCACACAAAATAACTAACCGGTGCCCTTGGAAAGAGCAGACGTATAAATAAAATCCAAACTTTCAGAGGATGAAACTTCTATTGCTGAAAAAAATGTTAAAATTGCGATTAAAGATGCGGCGAACCAGCGAGATAACGATTTCATTTTTGTAATTTACATTGACTAAAAGCAAATTTAAGTTTAAATTCATAAAAAAAAGAAATTCACATAAACTTTAGGATTAAAAATATAGATTTTGTTTTATGAAGTATTGTTTAAATTATTTTTACGGTCAAATAAACAGCTAAAATGTAAACTTTTCTCAAATTTGAAATATGTTTAAATTAAAAAATCAGTTTCTTTTTGTTGTTTTATATACAGAAGCGATAATAAAATGCTCCAAAAAGTTTTGGTTTTTTTTTGTTATTCCTTTTTGTTTAATGGTCGAGCGTTTATCAAATGTTAGGTTCAGTTAAACTGTCGGCCACCTATGTTTGGACTTTAAAATGTTTAATTATAATCTAATCGTCGAGTAACTATTTCAAAATTGTTCTCAATTTAATTAAATTTAATTAGAAAAAAATATTATCAGCCTGGTTTGGGTAAGCACTTAGCTTGGATAAAGTTTAATTAATTCACTAGATTGGCATTGGTAGATCATTTGAAATCAAGAAATGGGCATCAAGAATCCGTATTGTAATTTCCTTTGCAATAATATGTTAAAGTTGTTGAAATCAAACGACTACTGCGATGCCACCCTCCTGTTAAATGGCAGCCGGATAAAGGCCCACAGTGTTGTTCTAGCTGCTGCAAGTCCAAAATTGAAGGAAATGATTGACCATCTTAAATTTGTCGGCAAGCCTGTGGTCATTGTTTTATTCTTTGTTCCATCAAATTTTTTTCATTGTGTTTTCTTTATTTTTTTATTCATTGTTTTAAAAATATTCGTCTACTTTATATTTTTATAATATCTAATGAATGAATGAATGAATTAATTAATTAATTAAATTAAAGTTAATTAGGTATTACTAAATCAGCCTATGATCTAGTCATCATGCATGTTGATTTTTTTTGTTTTTGTCTAGTACTCCAGTGTTGTAATATGATTGGATAGTTTCAGCTTTTTTTGTTTTGTTATTAAAATTTTTCAAATGTGATGTAATGTTTTTAACAGTTAAAATTTTTAAATCTTGTTATTTATTCTAATTATTCATTCAAAAACTTGTTATTTAGAGCTTTTAGAAATGAAAATAAGTGTTTTGAATATATTAACCAATATAATTTGAATGATTATATGTTTATTAACTTTTATAAAACTATCCATACATGTATTATATATTTATTCATAGAATTTTTTTATAATTAATTTACTTATTGAAATTTATCAATTATTAATTAATAGAAAGTGCAGTGGTTAATTAAAATTTTCAAGTTATTAATTTATTAATGTTAATTATTTTTCAGGTTTTGGAAATGTCTGGCTGCACAGAGCAGGTTGCAGATGTGATGCTTGAGTACTTGTACACTGGCAGTATGAACGACTTGGAGGATGAGCCCAAGCAATGGATCAACCTCATCAACTTCCTTAAAATCCTCAAAATTCCACTTCCTGACTCTTATTTGAAGTCAGTTTTAATTTGTTTTCTTCCTCTTCTTTTTAATTGTAATTCTTGTTTATCATATTTTCTCTTTTTTGTTTATGAAATTTGTTATTCTTGAAGGTTTGTTTCTTTTAAAACTTTTTTAGATACACTGTAATTATGTATTGTAAGGAATTAATTGCTGGAAAGAGGTTGTTTTTTTTTGGAATAACAATATAATAATTTTTTTCATAACAATTATAATATTTAATATTAAGGGTTGTATTCATTGTTTTGCTTTACAGTTTGCATGTAATTCAGTGTGGTAATGTTTATATTTCCTCCCAAGTGTTATAAAAAATACTTTCCAAAGACTAAAAAGAATTGAATAATTTTTTTATTAATATTTTTTAACAAATTAATTAACTAATTTTTAACTAATCAATTAACAGTTTGATGAACAAATTTGAGAATGTGAAGATGGAGGAATCGTCGGAGAGTCAGGACAGTCAGCTGGATGTGCAGCCGGATATTAGCAGCAGCAGCAACAAGAGCAGAAGACTTGGTACCGAAAGTAAGAAGCATTCGTTGAAGAGGGGTTCGGACGGCGAGGAAATAATAACGAACATGGAGGATAGCTCGTTTAGTGATACTGAATTCAGTTACGTCAACAACTCTTTCAGTAGTTCCGTCCCCACCCCTGTTTTTCCGAGCAGCATCAACACCAACATCGATTCTAATGTCGTCAAAAAAATTGGCTCTGATCTGATCAAGAAGACCAGTTTGCTGCAAAAGTTGCCTGTAAAAACTTTCATCATTGAGAAGAAGAAAGTGAACAATGACAAGGTGGAAACAGCTTCTTCCTTTTCTCTGGTCCAACAAGATGCTCAGAGTTCCAGCAGTCTTCTAGCTGGTGCTTGCACGATAATCAAGACTGAAAATCTGGGTGGTGGCAACAGTGAATCCATTCATGACAACAGTGAGAGCACCTACACCAATGAAAATGACGTTAACAATAATGACAGCAACGTTGAAGTTCATGGTTCCGTGAATTGCAATGTGAATGATGATGGCAGAAATATAGTGAGTATGTTTAATAATAATTTTGAAGTGAGGGAGATCAAACCAGTGTCAGATGGAGGTAAGGAGTATGTTGATATGTCCATGAAGGATGAAGACACACTTGCATCTGAAATCATCAATGAAATTATCAGCACAAAGAACAAATTACACGACCAACAGCATCATCAACAACAACTTCAATTACGTGATCAACAACAGGAATTGCAACAGCATGAACAAAATGTAAGAACAATTATCACTAGAAAGAATAAAAAGCCAGTTAGCTTCATGCCTAAAACATTAATTCCCAGCTCTTTAAAATCAATAATTCCAGATCTTCCAGCAAAGGTTGTGGGGTCCAAGAGGGGGACGAGAGGGCCTTACAAGACAAAAAACAAATTAATTGTGGACCTTGATACAGTCAAGTTGGAAGCAGAGATGCGAATGAACAAAGAACTAAAATGTGCCACTTATGAATGCACGGAATGCCATCGATTGTTTATCACAAGGTCTGGCTTAGCCAATCACATTGCTTCCCATGGGCATGTCTTCAAGGCCTACTCGTTAGTTTGTGCTGTGTGTGTGTGAACGTGTTTGTGTACATGTGTGTGTGCGTGTGTGATTGTGTGTGTGTGTACATGTGCGTTTGTGAACGTGTGTTTCAGGATTTTTTTTGGCAAACTAGATTATGTGTCACTGCTATTGAAGGTAGATGGATTCATATAGCTGTTTTTCGTCCTAGCTTCAATTAGACATCTGTTCATTATTAAGATACAATATTCCAGCTTAATGTGAAATTCTTTGATAGATAATATATTCAAGATATACATAATTATATTACATAAATAAAATATATTTTTTACAAAATGTAAAAATAAAACGGAAATAAACTCTTTTTATTAAAAAAACTATAAACTTGTTTTAATTATAAATTGAAACAAATTCTTTCACCAGATGTCCTGTGTGCCAGTTGAGTTTCAAATATTTGAATTCATTACGTCGACATGCAAAGGACAATCATGATTTGTTTGTATGTCCTGAGTGCGGAGTGAACTGTGTGTGCTCCCCTGAGAAGGTTGAGGAAATGAAGAGGAAGGATGCCAATCCTGAACAATTTATCTGCCAGGAGTGTGGCAAGGTTGGGATCATTATTTCGGAATGGTGTGTTCGTGTTCATGGGATCAGGATGTTATGTTTGTGGATCGGGAGAGTTATGATGGGTTTGTAATTGATTTTTTAAAGTCAAACTTTTGTTCCCACCCGACAGGTCTTCAACAGTTCAAAAGCAATGGGTCTCCATCTACAGTGGCACCACAGAAAAGCAGAGCATGTATGTGACAAATGCGGTCGAAGTTTCAAATTCCTATCACATCTGACGTCGCACGCCATCACGCACGGTCAGCGAATGCACAAGTGTCAGATGTGTCATAGGTCGTTTGTCACGCAGTGGCGCCTGGACGTTCATCAGCGGATGCACACTCAACAACTGGCTCCCTACATCTGCAAGAATTGCAATGCTAGGTTCAACAGTCCGTACAAATTGAAGATTCACTCTTTCTACCACAAGAACGAGAGTTACAAGTGCAACCTCTGTGATAAAACCATGAGGAATCCTTTCACTCTGAAGGTCAGTTGTTGGTTGGTTGGTTGGCTGGCTGGCTGGCTGGCTGGTTAGGGTTTAGGGCTGTTTTGTGGTCCAAGATTGATGTTGTTATTTATATTGACCCACACCACAATTACATTCGCATAACGTAGCTTTGTTCAACTGCTTGTTTATTCTGCTCAGGTCAGTGATGAAAAAATAACGATTAAAAAACTAAATTATCTCTCAATTATCTCTCAGAACCATCTGCGAATACACCAGCGAGAAGGAGAGAAGAAAACGAAGGAATGCAATTTGTGTGGCAAGTTCTTCTACGACAACGTGGCTCTCCACACGCACATGAAGACCCACGATGACTTCAGACCACACCAATGTAATCTTTGTGGGCGGGCCTTCAAGATGAGGTCAGTTTCTTATTGGTTGGGTCTTTCTTCTGTAGATTGTGGCTTGGTTAATCTACACCTTTGTCAATTTATAGATAGATTAAGCATTGTTTAATACGTAATTGATATATCTTGAAGTCATTGCTTTGTGTTTCAAATAATATTTTTTTAGTTGTTTATCTCCATTTTTCTTTTTTTTTACCAGGTCCCATCTTCGCTATCACATGAACTCTCACAACGACGACGGTCCTATAGATTGCGAAACATGCGGTGCAACATTCAAGAAGAAATACAGATACAGACGCCATCTATCGAACGGAAAATGCAGAGGTCCAGGGGGGGCCAGGGGCAAAAAACGGGAGATAGCTCGTAAGAAGAAGGCAACTGAAAATGCGGGAGAGTATGAGGAGGGTGAGAGTCAACTGCAAATTGAGTTGGTGCCCATTAGTACTGTCGAGATTGAAGAAGACGTCGTCGTTGAAACAGTTCATAGCTGACTGTGAGGCTGACTAATTGATTGATAGATCGATTGGTTTATCATTCCATTGGTCTGTTGATTGATTAGTAGATTTGTCTCTTGCTCGATTGATTATTCGATCGGCTGGTTGTTTAATTAACCGGTTGTTTAATTAATTTGCTGATTGATTAATGACCCAATGTATATGACATAATGTTGCAAATGTATGTTGGATATTCACTGGGTCAATTGTTCTTGTTCAAACTGCTAAGATGAATGATGTTATGAATACTGTTGTTAGAATGATTTATGTTCGTTCGCATATAACTTATTAGATGTGTGGTTTACTTATTTTCAATTAATAATTATTCTCAACTATATGATTAATTGCATGAGCATCTGAGCTGGAGAACAGCTACTCTTTAAAGTTAAAAGTTGGTTCATGTTAAATTCTTAAGTTAGAAGTGGACATGGGAATGATTAAGCGGGAATTTCAATGGCTCCCACGGGAACGGGACAATTTTACACCGGTAAAAATGTCAGAGGGAAAGGAAAATTACCAAATGAGAGACTAGAAGAACAAATTGGGAATGGGAATTTTCTACATAAAAACATTTTTTCCGAATGACTTCAACTGCTGGTTTCATTTTTCAAAGCACTTTTTCATAATTTGATACCAAATTTGATACCAGACATCCTTGCTATTGGAATAACGATTCCATGTAATTTCAAACAAGGATAATTAATCAGGCCAAAGAGTAGCATCTCAAGTTCGTACCAATATTAACTAAATGTCACATCAAAAACATAATACCACTAACAAGTAAGAGCAATTGATATTATCCTACGTGTTACACACGCAGATATGCACACACACACACATACATCCTGAGACACTGATTAACGGTAATATTTAAGACAATTCAAGACAAGTAGCTGCATTTTTGTAAAGTTATATTCAAATTCATCGAAATTAACAATTTTATTTAAAAAAATAAAATGTAATTGGTGGAAAAATGTGAAAGAAAATGAATTTATTTTGAAGTCATTTTGAAAACAAATCCTTTCCTTGACAAATCATTTTTGGCCTGTTGTATCTGCTAAAGAACAAATAGTTCATTTTTTTTCAGTAAATAACAAACTTATAAATCAATTATGAGTCAATTTTAAAAAAATTTTAAATCATAAAAGTCAATATAAATTACAAAAGTCAAACCTTTTGTAGTTCAACAGCAGCCTCTTCACAATTTTCAAATGTTGCAACACGATATATAATGATGCCTACAGATATTATCTTTAATAATTTATGTAACAAAATGTTAAAAATTAGACATTTATTTAATAAAAAAATTTTGAAATTAAAAATTAACATTGTAAACTATAAAGAAAGTTTATTTTATAACTATAAAAAGGACTTTTATTATTAATCATCATGAATTAAACAACAATATGAAATAATGGATGAATGATAATACTGATTAAACTAATAGCTAAATTATTTAGAAACTTCAAACTATGACCACAAAATGTATCAAAAATGAATTAAACCATGAGTAATTTTATATTAAAATTTATACAAAATAATCTGGTTTAAGATTCAAAGTCTTAAAATACTCACGCCAAATGCAAATATAAACAGGAATGGAAGCTGTAATGAATACAATATAATAATAAAAATATAATTATAAGAAATGATGATTTATTATAGTTAATTATATTATATTATATATAATTATCTTATCACCATCAGTTGGTTAGTTAACAAAAATCTTAAGGTGTTGTGTTGTTATAATACAGTCTAATGGCCATATTAAGGTAAAAAGTTAAAAATAAGATTAATAACATACAATTATTTGTACAAATTAAGTATTAATATATTTATTTAAATAGTAATAATAATATTATTACATAATGTCTTATTCTTACTTCTAATTCACTTGTATTACAAAAAATACATAAAAAAATGACATCTAAGTAAGTAATATAATAATAATAGTAATGTAATTTTAATTTGATCAATTAATCATTGATTAATGATTATTAATCATTTTATAATTTAGATTGGCATAGAAAAAAATTTATTTATTAGCCACCCTGATGAATCTTAATAATGTAATGTAAAAAAATCAAATAACGAAAAACTGAATAAACCTAACAAACCAGTTTAACAACCATTTTACATTCATCACTGAGAATGTTGTTTGCAAACAAAGAGAGCCAGATTGCCAAGCCCAGGGACAGTAAAATGAGCCAATTTTGTAAGTGCGTCATTCCTCACCAACCAACTCCTAATTCCTAAAAAAAATCGGTTACCGAATGAACGATATAATCAAAATTTAACTATTAATTAATAATTATTAAAACGACGAAAGAGATGTTTAAATGTGAACAGTGATTTGAAATGATAATAATGCACAGTGCTATCTATGATGTTTAAATATAACTTAATAAATTTTTAACTTATTTAACTTAATAAATAAAAAAAAAACTAAATTATCATTTAATTTAATTTATACTTGTTTAATTGTTATTTTCATTATTTTTTATTTTCCATTATCTTTATCATATGTTTGTAGAACAGGGTGGTATTAATTCATTAATAAAATTGAATTAATAATGATAATTTGATGTCTGAATTCGAAATTATTTTTATTAATTTAAAAATTAAACCCTAAAATGTATTAAATTATGTGGATTGGTTCAATCATTTTTAGTTCGTGGAAATTGAAATATACGCATGTTTAAATCTATAGCTGAGAGATTAACGTACTCTATAGTATTTTTTTTTACATTTGAAGATGAATCATGTAAAGGCACTGAACCTATATAGCTTAGTTCATTTTAATTTTTTTCAATCAAAATTTCGTAGATGAAATGTTTAGTTAATTATGTAAAAAAACGTTTTTATTCGTAACCATTCCAGATGGCAGGGTTAGAAAAAAAATTACGTAATGGCTCGAAGCCAAGTTGATTCATCAATGTCAACATCATTGTCATGAGCCTTTTTGTCACAACCATCATCGTCATCTTCATCGTCATCTTCATCGTCATCATTAACATCATCATTTCCATCCTCATCATTATCTCAGTCAAACTCCTCCTCCTCCTCCTCCTCCTCCTCCTCCTCCTCATCATCATCATCATCATCATCCTCAATACCATCTTAAACACCATCGTCATCAATATTATTGCCATCATAAAAAATCATCATCGCCATCATCATCGTCGTCGTCATCGTCACTGACTTACATTTTGTCCAGCATCTCCAACATGAAACAATAAATTTAATGCAATGACATTTTTCTGAAGTCACTTATAAGAAAATCTCGTGATTAATGGTCGGTGTTGTTTTCCTCCACCACTTCAACTGACAAATGCATCTAGAGGTGTACACATTGAATACATTCAATGTTCACATTGAACTGTTAAATAAATGTATGCATATGTACGTGCATTATTGTTATTAGTAGTAGTTTAGACAAAAATTTCATACAAAATGCAGAACATTTTTCTAAAAGTGTATGTATATATATATATACAATTATTTATAAAGATTACTGCGTTTTCGGCATTATTCAACTTGTAGTTGAGTTTCTCAATTTTTTTTAACGAGACTTTTATCATCTTGATGAAGTTTATTAAGGTTATGTAAAAAACTATTAATATTTGACACTTTTGACAAAACATTATTAATAACGTTATTACTACATTATTATTACATGATTAACTTTAATTCTAATTAAGTTACAATCAAAGTCGCTGTTAAAACAAAAACACAAAGACGGAACAATACTATATAACTACACTGATTATGGCAGTCGATGCCGAAAAGAGCTTTTCTTTAGCAATAACGTTATTAATAATGTTTTGTCAAAAATTTCAAATATTAAAAGTTTTTAAATTAACCTTAATAAACTTCACCAGGATAATAAAAATTGAGAAACTCAATTACAAGTTGAATAATGCCGAAAATGCAGTGATCTTTTA